TTCAAAACTTGTAATTCTACACTTAATGTAAAATTACAATTTTTTTACAATTTTATAAAATTAGGTTAGGTGTCACTCTTATAGTTAAAAACTAGTCATTGGAGTGACACCTAAATAAAATAAACACAAAAAAATATTAATAAATAAAAGCATGTGTAAATTAAATTAATTTAAAAATAATAATAACAACGATAAAGATATAATAAATTAAATAATAAGACAAAAAATATGAAAACACTCAATTAATAACTTTTTAAGTGTTTCTTTGTTTATAATAGGGCTTGTTTTTTTACTCTTCATTTTCTTTTGATATTTTTGAATTCTTTTTTTTAACAGTCTGCGATTAACACAGTTTTTAATTTTCTTTATTTCCTTTTTTTTAAACGGTTAAAAAAACATAAACACCATCTGCGATGACCTTGCAAAGAATGTGAAAAAGAATGACTTCCTAATTAATACTTGTGTTTAGTACTATAACATTATTTTATGATAAATCTGATAATATGAATACACAAATTTAATATTATTAGTCGAATTACATCATTTTCTAGGCTTTTCTATTTTAAAGTAGTTTCTAGGCTTTTCTATACGCGGTTTTTTTTTTTAATTTTATTTACTAACAACGCGTATTACGGGTTGCTTACTGCTAGTAATGTATTATTCTTATAATAGTTGTATGAGATATAATATGCTAAAGTTCAAGTTATGCTGGTTGTAGTTATAAAGTTCAATTTTATCTGAATTTGTTAAATATTTGAATTTATTTCATTTGTAAAGAGTGCTTCCAACATGAGTGCCATTCAAACTTTAATAACGAACTTTGAACTTTACATAATCACCTTTCAAACATTTAAGAGAAATTTTTCTTAATCTTATTTTGTTTTATACTTTAGTTTAAAAATTCGGAGCTTTGGTTTCCTCCACCTCCCTCCCTCCTTCCAGGATTTTTTCAAAAGTCTTTGATTTGTGAAGAACAATTGTTATAATTCCACTGCTTCCTTCTGTACATTAAAATTTTTCTGTTATAATGCTTAGCTGAAAGTCAGCAGTAGGATGAGAGGTTTGAAATCTGTATTGATTGTCACACAGATGTTTCCAGGTGGACATAGAGCTTCTTGTTTTTTTTTTTTATTTAATAAAAACTTTTACCAAGTGTGTAAAAAGATTCACATCAAAAATAAAATTTGTCAGCCTTTGACTTCAACAAACAAATTTAAATTTTTCTCGAATTTCCAATTAACACGCAGATTTGATGACTTAAGCTGAATTTAAATACTTTAATGCTACTTTTTATCAAAAATCTGAAAATATTTTTGTAGGGTTTCTCAAAAACAGTGGTTTTTTAAATTTACAATTTAAAAAACAGTCAACAAAAACTGTTTTTTAAATTTCCAATTAACACGCAGATTTAAATTTCCAATTAACACGCCCCCCACACCTTCCTTCCTTTATTAATTTTTCTTGTTTGATGACAGCAAAGACAAAGCTAAAAAAAACTGTTGCCAAGGTAACCTTATCCAATCGCCTTATCTGCAAGTGTTTAACTAAATTTTTAAAGTTGTAGAATTTCATTTTATTGTTTTGTTACAATGCTTATACTGTCCAATTCTTTTATAAATGGATTTTTTCTGTTTTGTTGTGTATGTCCAGACTGACATTGCTAAGAATTTGAAAGGAAAATAAAAATATTAAGTTGCCGTTTTACCCACAAATAAATTCATAACTGTTAACTATGCAATTATCAAGTTAACGTAAATAAGAAACTGGTGCAAACACATTTCACTCACTCTCACATCTTCACTATTAGGTAATAATAAGCCAGCCTGACAATCTTTAGATTGTCTTATATTGCTTTAATAATATTTTATACAGTTTTAATACTGTTCCTAACTAGAATTTAGACTCAAAAAAAAAAAAATTCACATTGTCAATTCACCTCCCCAAGGCCGAGAAGGCCACTACAGACTAGGAGGCTACTTAATTGTGGTTTTAGGAGTGCTCTGTTATTTTTTTGCAAAAAACACAGTGATTTTATATATATATATTTTTTTTTAGTATTTAAATTTTTAGATATTTATGAACCTTGAAACAGTTCCATCTTCAATAAACCTTGAAATATACATGCTTCTTTATTTAATATAATGCATATAACACTATATATTACCTATAACCATTTACACATCAATGTTAAAAATACGCTGCAAAATATAAGCAAAGTTATATTTTGTAAAGTTACTTTTACAATACTATTGTATTAAATTTTAAACATTTAGTTAAGATTATTGTCCATTAATTATGTCAACAAAATAGAGAAGTCTGAAAATTTTTGACAAGGGAGGTCAAGAAAAGACAATGCCAACAATATTACTTTAAAAAATGCTAAATAAATTAAATTATAATAAAAAAGAAAAGAAAAAATAGATGTTTTCTTTCATTTAATTTTCTTAATGAGGTAGGTGGAGAGGGGGAGAGGAGAGGAAGAAGAGTAGTCAAATATTGATGTAATTTTGTAGGAGGATGTGTGTGTGTGTGTGGGGGGGGGAAGGCTTAGAGGTAAATTAGCAAATTGTTGGGAAGGGAAGGGAGGGTGTAACAGGCTTGTACAGGAATGGCATGCGATTGCACTCTGTAACTGACCACGCTATTGTTTTTTCTTTACAATTTGATCACAGCAATTCTGATGTTTTAACAATTTAAATGAATAACGTTATGAATAACTTTTAATTGTTGATCTTTTCTAAAGTTTTTATTTTACGCGAGGCTTTAAATAAACTATAAAATTAATTATAATGATTGTTTACATAAACCCATGTGTTAATAAAAAATGTTTTACAAAAATCTTAATATTAATAAAAATCTTTTAAACAAAAAATTTTTTTTTTAAAATTTTTTTTTTAGTTACGATAGAAATGAATGAGTTTAAATTTTTTATAATAACTTTTAAATTCATTACATGAAATACTTATTAATAATGTTATAATGCTCAAATTAAATTGCTTGTTGACGGTTTATTTTATTTAAATCACAGGCGCATTTTGTTATTTAATTTTTTCCCCTATAAAAAAAGTTAAAACCTTTTTTTTAACTAAACTTACTAATTAAAGCTTGAAATTATTAAGAATTACATATACAACACTTTTTAATAAATTTGATAAAATTTGATCATTTATTAAACAATTATTAGAAGTAATTTGTGACTTAATTTAAAAGCGTTTTGCATAACTTTAATAAAACGTTTCAAAAAATAAGTTTTAAAAACAATTGTTTTAATTAAATGTGTAATAAAATGTTTTGCTTCGAGTTCATTTTTTTTTTCATTTTAGTGCTTAATTTCTTTTTCGTAATAATTTTTTTTTTTTTTGTTAGGATTTTTTTTTTCGATAAATTTTTTTTTTAAACTTTATTTTTCTAGTTTAAGATTAGCTTAGCGCTTCTACATTCAGTGTATTTCTGAAATGTTTAAATCATCAAAACATATAAACAATTGTGGTCAAGTTGTCAAAAAATAAAACTATTTGCGTGGTCAACAATAGCGCTCGATCACACACCATTCCTGTCCAGGCCTGGTGTAAGGTAAAATTTGCCAAAAAATTGTTTACATAGTTAATATACAGACACTAGGTTGATTTCGAAGATTCAATTTTGTTAGTCTATATTTAGTATTTTCAATCTTGTTTTAGTGTTATTCATATTGCTATGTTGCTCATATGCTCCAATACTGTCCAATAACGCTAGTTAAATTTTAAATCCACAATTAAAGGCGAAATAGATATTGGTTTTAAAAATAGGCCCCGAACTAGACACAAGCAAGCTGTGCCATGGCACAAGGGTCCAGACAAAATTACGGGCCCCAAAAACGATAGTTAAAACAAATGATGTTTTTTTATATTGATGACTTGATTAAAGTAGATACTATAATCAAGAACAAAATCTTATCCAACAAAAAATATTGTACTTTGTTAGGTTATTTCAGAAAGAAATTCAAAAAAGTTTATTTAAACCATTTTTCCTTTACATATTTTTCATTTTCATTTTTCCTTTACATATTCCTTTACATATTACTACTTAGCTCCTGATTCTTATTTAAAATGAAAAACTCATCTGCATCTGAATTTTTTTTTTTTATTCTTTTTTTATTTTATTTCGTGGAACGAAAAAAAATATATATATGAAATAAAATAAGACAGTTGCATTTTAAAAAATGGTTTGTTTTTTAAAGCTTTTAGGTTTTGTAAACTAAATTTTTTTTATGAGTGTTAACTTTTAGCACATTATATCAAACTCATCAATACCAGGCAAATTTATATGCAAAATAATTAATAAAATTAATATGCAAAATGAATCTCATAAAACTCAATAAATTTTTTCTTGATTTAAATACATTAAAATGGAAATAACTTTACTAGTGATCCACATCTTATAACCCATATGAAGTTACATCTTATAACGCATATGAAGTTACATCTTATAACGTTTATGAGGTTACATCTTATAACGCATATGAGGTTACATCTTATATAACGCATATGAGGTTATATCTTATAACACATATGAGGTTACATCTTATAACGCAGAGGTTAGATCTTATAACGCATGTGAGGTTCTTTGGCTTTAAAGTGTAAATACAAGTTTATGCAATATAATTTTTATGTGAAAATAATTTTTTTTGGTTAATTCGTGATGTAATGCCCAATTTTACACTGCTTGGAGAATTTTTGTAAGACACACACACACACACACACACACATATATATATATATATATATATATTTATATATATATATTTATATATATATATTTATATATATATATTTATATATATATATTTATATATATATATATATATATATATATATATATATATATATATATATATATATATATATATATATATATATATATGCGCATACATACACATACATGCATGCACACAAAAAATAAATTTACACATATATGTACATATAAGTATAAAATAAAATCTAACTGTTATTGCATTTTAGGAGAATCTGAATCGAATAACATATTTAGCACAAACTGATACCAATGAATGGGTTAAAGTAGCTGCAACCATTGTTAGTGACTATCCAAACACGCAAACAATATGTAGCAGTTTGGAAGAGGTTACAACATGCTTTTCTGAAACATTGGAAGATGTCAAAACAGAAGGTAAATGTTATAAAATATATATGATAGTAATATTATATATTTTTGTGAGATTCAATGTAAAGTTGACCCAATGATAGACTTAAAACAGTTTCACACACTCAGACAAGTTGAATGAACTGCTAACCTATATATACCTAACCTAATATATACAATTGATTGCTAAATTAGCTTCTGCTAAGGTTGCTTCTCTTTATCATGCTCGCCATTTCCTTACTTCTGATTCCATTCTCTACCTCTGCAAATCTCTTATTCGTCCCTGTATGGAATACTGTTGTCATATTTGGGCTGGTTCTTCTAACAATTCACTTTCTCTTCTTGACAAGGTCCAAAACTGCATTGTAAACATTGTTGGACTATATGCTAAGCTTGAACCTCTTTCCCATCGTCGTAAAGTTGCATCTCTTTCTCTTTTCTACAAATACTATCATGGTCACTGCTCAAAGGAGTTATCATCTCTAGTTTCATCAACTAAAATTCATTCTCGTTTTACTCGTCATTCAGCTAAGTCTCATTCGTTTACTGTATCTGTCCCTGCATGCTCTAAAAACTTTTATTCATCTAGTTTTTTTCCCCGCACTTCAATCCTTTGGAACTCTCTCCCATCTTTATGTTTTCCTGACTCATACAATCTTCCTTGCTCTATAACTTTGTTCTTTTTTTTTCCTAGTAACTCCCAACTTAATAGTGGTTGCTTGCAGCCTTGTTGGGAGTGAATGCAAATAAAAAAAAACAAAAAAAAACATCAAAATCAGTTTACAAAACATAGTTTGTTTATTTTTGCTTTGAACTCATTCAGACTGTAGTTCAACTACTAATTTTTTTAATTTACTCCATATTTTTAATATGGGATTTGTAAAAAAAAAAAACAATTTTGAATTAGTAATAATGCAATGATCTGGTTTTCTTAAAAAAGTTACTTTAAAATTTTTTTTGTAGGAACATGCCATTCAATTTTTTAATATTTTTATATCATTTAATCAATATAAAAAAATTTTTATATCATTTTTATCAATAAATTGTATTTTTTTTTTCTTCTGACTATTAAAGTTATTAAATTTAGCAATTCCAAGTGATACACATCATAATATTTAAATATGTCAGTGATGTAGTCGTAGAGCACTTACTTCCTAAGCAAGAAGTTCTTAGTTTAATTCCTTCCATGTTCTTGGTAGTACCACCTTTAAATTGTTTCTCTGTGCAGCAGACTGCTCACTCAAGGTTCGTGTTTTGGAGTTAAAGAGTTGAGAGAGGGTTGGTAACTATAATTTAAAAAGATAAACCCTCTTTAATTGCATATATTTCTTCTTACTTGAGTGAATATAAAAATCTCATTTAGTTTAGTTTAGTTTATTCAGTAATCCATCATTTAATTACAACAAAAAGTTAAAGCCAAAAATTAAAATAAAATAATCGATAAAGAGGGGAAGCACCAGGCTCCTCTGTTCTGACAATCTTTTGCTGCATACAAAGCAGGTATAGTTAGATAAAAAAGTTTTCAAAGCAGTTGACACTTTGCGCATCAATAGTCTTCTGCGGGAGAGCGTTCCAGTGACGTACAATTCAATTTGTAAAAAAATGTTCTCTTTCAATACAATGATTTACCCTATGTTTATCAAGGCATTGACTGTGACTTAAAAGTTTGTAATTCAGTCTATATATGTGTTGCGTCTGTGGCACATAAGAAAAAGATCTTGTCAATGTTTTGAGTGATTTTGAATTGCTGAACTATTTTGCCCTGTGTTCTGCGGTCTTCAAGAGTCGCTAAACCTAATATTTGCAATCTTTGGGCGTGTGGTAAATGCTTTAATAGTGCAACCATTTTTGTCGCACGCTTCTGGACTTTTTCTAGTGTTTCAATGTCGCATTTTAGAAATGGAAACCAGACTTGTATCGCGAACTCGAGATGCGGGCGAATATAAGCTATATACAATGTTCTCCAAACAACGATACCTTGACTGCAGAATGCTTTTTTCAGCCTACAAAGTACTTGATTGGCTGTTGAGTCTTTACTTGATTTTTTAGTTTTAATACATCTGAGACCATGACGCCAAGGTCTCTTTCATTCTTGCTAACTGCAAGTTCTTTTCATGATCTGTCATTGCTGCACACTGAATATGATTGTGTTGACCTTTTGGTTCCACTGCCTACTTTGTGCATTACTTTGCATTTTGCCACATTGAAATGCATATGCCAAATTCTGGACCACTACACAGTTTTGTCTATGTCATTTTGTAAAATTGAAAAGTCATTTTCAGATTTGATGATGCCAATGATTTTGCTATCATCTGCATATAATTTGATGTGATGCGAAATGTTGTTTGGAAGATCAATTATAAAAAGGACAAATAATAATGGTTTTAGAATCAAACCTTGTGTTTTATTGTGTTTATTTGTTTAAATAAATAAACAAATAGCTTAAGTGTATATTTTTTTTTAGTTGAAAGACTGAAGCTTCCCATTTCATCATCCACACTTCCTCTTGAGTGCCCATATCTTAATCCAACTATTCTTAATTATATGTGTGGAACTCAGCCTGCTCCAGTTAAACATTTTACACTAAGAAGAAAACCCAAATCTGCTGCTCTTAGAGCAAAAATTGCTCAAAAAGGTTAGTTAACTTATTTTCAGTAACTGCAGTAAATGTTCAAGATATCAACTAACTGTTTCTAAGCTATTTTATCATTTTTTAACACCATTGAATTAATCATTTGATTTAAATGTCAATGCATATTTAAATGATATTTATAAGTTCTTGTAGCATCAAAATAAGTTGTTGTAGCATCAAAAAAAACTTGAAAAAAAAATTGACTTGTGCATATAGATGCACAATTCAATTTTGTTTAATTTTATTATGGTTATTTTTTTAAAATTTGTTCTTTTTTTTTCACTTTTTACATGTTCTTTTTCAAAAATAATATGGTTAATTATGCATAAAAAATATTGCTCCAGAAGGGTCATTTGCAAAAGTTGTCAAAAATTTATTTGTGTCATTTTGACACAAACAAATTTTATTAATTTAATTTATAAATCAAAAAGTTGTTTTGATTAAATTTTAAATATTACTTAGGTTTTACGCTATTAAATATATGTTTAACTTGGTTATAAAAAGATTTTTTGATTGTATCAATAAAAATTAAACTTTAAATATATAAAAATTTAATATAATAAGAATTAGTGAACATTTAATAATGTTGACTTCAAATACCCTTAAAAAAATTACAAAAAATTAAAATTCAAAGACATAAGCTAAATATATTTGTTACTTATTTTTTTTATGAAGTTGAATTTAAAAGAATATAAAGTATTATTCTACATAGCATCAGATACTTCAATCCAAAAGCGTGTTCCGGCAACTTTGTCAAGTTCTAAAGCCAATAAAAAAGTAGTTTCACAAGCAAATAAAATCACAGCTGTTTCATCACATTGCAAAGCTTTCTTGAAAAGTTCTTCTGTTCCTAAGAAAACAAAGGTTAGTGAATAAATTTTTAAATTATATTTTATTATTCTTTAATTATATTTTATAAGATAATTGCATGTGCCTGTCAGCTGAATTTTAATTCCGAGATAACTAGTAAAAGTTTTACATAAAATAAAAGCTCTAAATAGTTATGACATATACCATCAAGATTTCTATAGTTTGTAAATGATGGTTTTCCAAAACAGAAAATTGATATCAGCTTTTTATGAAAGACTTGCATCTTTATTGCAGTTATATTCTCTAGTATTATTTGACATTTTTGCTTAAAGGGTTGTCAAATTTATTATAACAATTGTCAAATTTATTATAACATACTAAATCTTTGAAAATACAGTTTAAATAAAATTTTTTGTATTTTTATGTTATCCTCATACTATTCTAACTATTTGCCTCAGATATTTTAGAGTTTGAGTTCTTTTTTATAGAAATAGCTTTGACGCATCAACTGATCTTATTTCTAAAGTACTTTTTTTTCCTTCCAATTTGTTTGAATTGGTTGTATTATTTTTATATGCCGAAAAGATATTTAGGACATCTTATAAATCACATAGAAAAATTTTTTTTTTTATAACTTAACCATTTAACTTGTTCTTTCTTTGTTTTTGTTTTTTGTCTTTCATTTTCATTATTTTTACTATGTTTCAATTTTAAACACATGTTTATCGATGGCATGCTTTTTTTTAAAGTAACAGAATTGCAGATTTTGCAAGCATTTGAAAAGTTGACTAACTTGCAATTTACTTAGTCATTTTGTGAAAACACTAAAGAGTTCCATAGTATTGGTGTCCAAATCAATATTTACGAATTCTATTCTGAATTTTGAATAAAAAACTAGACAAACAAAAGCTCTTTGAGCATGAAGGAAATGCTACACTGAAAGAATGTAACTATGCAAGCCATGCGAGGCTAAATCACAAATTGTATCTGGTGTTTTGCTAGGTAGAACAAGAGACGATAGCTTGCTCTAACAGCAACCATATTGCAGTAATAGGACACCGACTCAAGTTGGCAAAAGCTGGTTCAATTATATTTACAACTGTTGGTCTTAAAAGAAAGAACATAATTAGTAGAATAAGCTTATATTTTTAACAGTGTTCCTTTTAACGACGAGTTTATAGAGGTTTAGAATGGAATCTTTCCATGTGAGTTCAGCAATTAAAGAAATAACATTCATTAAAAGTAAAAGTAAAAGTCAATCACCAAGAAGTGCTTGTCTTGAAAATTCGTCTATTCTTTTGTTGATTAAAGTAGTAATGTCTTTCTTTACCTTATTACTTTTTTAAAAGTAGTAATGTTTTTTTTACCTTATTACTTTTTTAAAAGTAGTAATGTTTTTTTTTTACCTTAAAAAAACTTAAAACTTTTTTTTAAGTTTAGTGTAAAACAATAAGTATTTTTATTATTCGGATTATTTTATTGATTATTTTTATTACTTGGATTATCTTGTTTTATACAAAACATCAGAGCTTATGGAGAAAACTAGCATGTCAGGCTTTATTAAAAGGCCTTTGATATAACAAGAGCACTATCCCTTACCTCATTGCATATATCTGACACACAAGAGTGTTTTTGAACACAAGAATATTTTTAAACACAAGAATGTTTTTAAACACAAGAGTGTTTTTAAACACAAGAATGTTTTTAAACGCATTTTGGAGCACAAGAACTCAAGAATTTATTAACTAATCAGCAGTTGAATGAGAATGAAAATAAATAATTATGATTTTGTTCGACATGAAAAAAAATGTCATTAATATAATTGTATTGTTTTTTTTTTGTTTAGATGTTTTTAAATATAAGTTCTCGTTTTAATGAACTGTTCTATTAATTAAGTTATTTAATTTTGAATATTATCATAGCAACTTTTCTGAAAACAAAGGTATTTTTATTGTTGTAATATGCCAATGGAAAAAGTTGTTGTCTAATTTTAAGGTCTATTATTTTCAGAATTTTTTAATTTTAAATTATTTACTAAATTATTTATTTTATCTCAAAAGTAGAGAGTTTAGGAGAATTGTTAACAATAAATAACAGCACAATAGTTAGGATAATAATCAAAAGCATGTCTAACATAAATTACCAACCTCAAACTGTTAGAGGTCAGCATCGGGTCAGCAAAAAAAAATTGACACAAAGAGGTCACCATAAAACATAGAAATGAGGTTGGCAATTTTTTGCCGACCTTAAACACTTCTAAGTCGGCATTGCTAAATGCTGACCCTATTTCCAAGGGTTGCATATATGGATGATATCCATTTATCCATTAAATTTCTAAGCTTTATTTTTTTTCGCTGATAATACTAATATTCTTTTTTAATAGTAATAATTTAAAGCTTGTTTTTTCCATTGTTAACACAAATAAATCTCAACTCTAAATAATAAATCTCTGTTTAAATAATTTAATAATAAATTTTCTTTTAATATTAATAAAACTTAATACATTTTGTTCACAAAATCTAATATCTCAACCCTTGAATTTTTAGATTTAATTATAAACAATACTTAGATAATTCAATGAAAATTTTGAATATAATATTTGGTGAACATTATAATTGAAAAAATCATATCAAATTAATAGAAAAACAAAATCTCTTTATCTCATATCCAAAAAGGTTGTATTTTATTATTGTAAATGATCTAGAAAAAAACAAAAAGCATGCAAAACAATGTAACAGGTCCAATAAAAAATTATGTGTATAGGCGTAATGTAATACATTTTTATTTATCCATAGCTATATTAGTCATTATAATGTAACTTAAGCAAGTAATCACTCATCTTCATTTTAAATTTTAGCAAACCAAAACAAGAGTGTTTAATGCAGGTGAGAGTTTTTAATGCAGATAGATTTGCATTACTATTTGTAATACAGTCATTACTAAAAGAAATTAATGCTTTAAATGTATATAAATTAAACCTTAAAATTATTTTTTATTGTTTTCATATTTTTAGCCACATTTTATTTTCTACTTTAATTAATCACAGATACTTAACAAGGTATTCCATTGACAATTTTTATATTCTGTTAACATTGCCTAAAAAATCGGACTAATCAATTATTTGTCTAGATTTTTATATATGGAATTCGATCTGTGGAATAATGACATAATCTACAACCGCAATGAAAGCACTAAAAAAAACAGTAAAGCTATATTTATTAAATCTAACCAATAAGCATATATATTTTTTTATATCATACGTATTAATTCCCCTATTTGTAGTGAAATCAGGTTCGAATCCTTTGACCATTCTTTTATGTGCTTTCGCCTAGCACCTCTTCACTCTATCACCTTTCTCTTTGTTCTTTATCGTTCTCCTTCTTCCCATGATTGCACTCTCTTAGATGTTATCTCTGATCAAATTGACCATGCCCTCTCTCTTTACCCCTCTGCCAATATTGTTGTTGTTGGTGATTTTAATGCCCATCACACTAAATGGCTTGGCTCTAACACCACTGATCCTACTGGCACTAAAGCCTTCAACTTCTGCGTTTCTCAATCTCTTACTCAGATAGTTAACTTTGTGACTCGTTTTCCTGACAACCCTAATCATTTACCTTCACTCTTTGACTTATGTCTTGTCTCTGACCCTAGCTTATGTTCAGTTTCTCCCTTTTCTCCCTTAGGTGGTTCTGACCATGCAATGATCTCTATAAATTTTTCTTCTGGTACTTCTTTTTTGGGCTCACCTTATCATCCCACCACCTACTACTACCCTAAAGCTGACTGGGATTCCTTTCGTGATTTTTTTCGTGATGGTCCTTGGACTGATATTTTTTCTCTCTCAGCTGACAAATGTGCCTCCTACGTAACCTCCTGGATTCAGGCTGGAATGGAAGCTTTTATTCCTTCGCGTCGGTTTCAAGTCAAGCCTCATTCTACTCCATGGTATTCTTCTTCTTGTGCGGCTGCTATATCCAATCGTAATCATTTTTTTCATCTTTTTCAAAAGAACAACTCTCTTGAGAACAAACAGCTATTTATTATTGCAAGAAATCGATGTAAAAAGGTGCTTTCTGATGCTAAACTCCATTATTCTCAGTTCACTAAATCTCGCATCTTATTGCAGAAGTTAGACTCTAAAGACTTTTGGAAAATCTTCAACAGCATTATTAACAAGGGTAGATCTAACATTCCATCTCTCATTGATGGTAATAAGATCATGGGACTGATCTTATTACCTCTCCCAAGGATAAGGCAGAACTATTTGCAAAGAAATTTTCTTCTAATTCCACTCTTGAATCTTATGGACATTCTCTTCCTTCGATTCCAGTCAAACAGGTTGACCCATTGTTAGACATTCAAATCACTCTGGCTTCTGTTGCTAAAGTCATATCTCAATTAAACTCGTCTACAGCTTGTGGTCTAGACAACATTCCTGTCACAGTCTTGCAGAATTGTTCTCCAAAACTTTCTTTAATTCTCTCTAAACTATTTAACAAGTGTTTGACTGAGTCTTGTTTTCCTGCTTGTTGGAAAATGGCATCTGTGGTTCCAATATTCAAAAACTCTGGAGAAAATTCTGACCCCTCCAATTATCTTCCGATCAGTCTTCTTTCTGTTATTAGCAAGATCTTTGAGTCTTTGATCAACAAATTCCTCACATCTCATCTTGAGTCAAATAAACTACTGTCAGACAATCAATACGGTTTTCGATCCTCTTGCTCTACGGCCGACTTGCTAACTGCTGTAACTGAAAGATTTTATCGTGCATTAGATGGAGGCGGTGAGGCTAGGGCTATTGCTCTCGACATATCTAAAGCTTTCGACAAAGTTTGGCATGCTGGTCTTCTCAATAAGCTTGCTTCATATGGTGTATCTGGAAAAGTTTTTGAGATTATTAAATCATTTCTTTCTAACCGGTTTATTAAAGTCATCCTTGAAGGCCAACACTCTTCTTTATTTCCAGTAACTTCTGGGGTTCCCCAAGGTTCCATCCTGGGCCCTGTTTTGTTTCTTATTTACATAAACGATCTTCCTGACAACCTTTCATCTAAAGTAGCTCTTTTTGCTGATGAAAACTTTATACTCCTGTCTTGACAAAAAGTCTTCTCTTTTCGATCGCCTAGAACAAGCAGCTGATCTTGAATCCGATCTTACTTCAGTAATAGATTGGGGTTCACAGTGGCTTGTGAATTTCAACTCTAAAAAAACCCAGTTGCTTACTGCAAACAACTATTGTAGTATGGTCAACATTCCTATATTAATGAATGGCAATCCTCTCACTGAGTCCTCCTCGTTACGTCTTCTTGGATTATTGCTTACTACTGACCTTTCATGGAAACCATATATACAATCAATTGCTAAATTAGCTTCTGCTAAGGTTGCTTCTCTTTACCGTGCTCGCCCATCCTTACTTCTGATTCCACTCTCTACCTCTACAAATCTCTTATTCGTCCCTGTATGGAATACTGTTGTCATATTTGGGCTGGTTCTTCTAACGATTCACTTTCTCTTCTTGACAAGGTCCAAAAACGCATTGTAAATGTTGTTGGATCATATGCTAAGCTTGAACCTCTTTCCCATTGTCGTAAAGTTGCATCTCTTTCTCTTTTCTACAAATACTATCATGGTCACTGCTCAAAGGAGTTATCATCTCTAGTTCCATCAACTAAAATTCATTCTCGTTTTACTCGTCATTCAGCTAAGTCTCATTCGTTTACTGTATCTGTCCCTGCATGCTCTAAAAACTTCTATTCATCTAGTTTTTTTCCCCGCACTTCAATCCTTTGGAACTCTCTCCCATCTTTATGTTTTCCTGACTCATACAACCTTCATGTTTTCAAGTCTTCTGTCAACCGTTTCCTTGCTCTATAACTCTGTTCTTTTTTTTCCTAGTAACTCCCAACTTAATAGTGGTTGCTTGCAGCCTTGTTGGGAGCGAATGCAAATAAAAAAATATAATAATAAACATGTTTATGCATTTACTGGTGTATGTTAAACTCTTGATTATGTATGAACTTATTTTGTAATTATGAACTTAAATGTGTCAATTTTTTGAAAAATGTAGAATAAACTAAATTATCAGTAAATAATGCAGTAAAGCTGTAGTGATAAAGTGCTCTTTTTGTAAGCAAGATATTCATAGTTCAATCCCTGCCATGCCGTCCCTGGTAGTATCGCATGTAACTTGTTTCTCGGTGGAGTGATCTTTTTTGTCAAGAATTGTGTTTTGAAGTTTAAGGTTAAGATTTTTTTACATTTATACAAAGCTAAAAAGGTTTAGAGTGGGTTTTTGAGAGTTTTCTACATTTATGCTTAATTATTTTTAAATAATTAGAAATATTCTTAAAGATTCATTTCTAACTAACTTACATTATTCACTCAACGATTAGAAATATAAAATCTTTGAGAAGAAGATTGATAAAGAACAGATATCTTACATTATTCTAAAGAAAGAGACTGTTACAATATCAGTAACTATCGCTGTATATCTATCCTTTCTACTTTTTCAAAAATCGTAGAGCGTATTTTGTACATTTTTTGTATTTGGTTTTAAAAAAAAATAATTCCACTGAACATGCAATCATCCATTTTGTATGAGAAATATTGAATTTCTTCCAAACATTAACAAACTTACATTATTCACTCAGTAAAGTATATGAACAGAAAAGTGTAATGAGCATTTATCAAAAATACTTTTGATAAATATATTTGTTTAATTTAATAAATTAAAAAAAATAACTTTTAAATTAATACTTTTAATAAAAAATCTTTTTTTATTTAATATATTTTATTTTATTAAACAAAAAAAATTAAACCCAAGATTGATTGATTTTTGTTTGGTTGTGTATTTTTTATAAATATTGCTTATCACTTTAAAAAATGGGCGAAGGAAGAATAATTAACTAATACACAAAGTTTTTTAAACAAGGAATACTTTATCTTGAATAATTTTTTGTTTTAGCTGCTTGATATAGCAGATCAACCTGTTGGTGTACGTGAACAAAAAAAGCGAAAAAAGGTTTTAGGTAAGGTTAAAATCTGTTTACTATAAGTGATGGTATTTAAAGGATGTGTAGTTTCATAGGATAATGTAGTTTTGGCAGGTTGTTATTGTGGTATAGTTTTGCATTATACTGATTATGCATTTAGACTTTGTTTTGTATCTTTCATAAACTAAATAGATGATTGTTTTAATTTTTTTATAAGAAATGGAAGCACAAGAAAAGAAAAAGATTTTAAAGCAGCAAAAGCATGAAGATGAAAAACAAGATGAAGCTGAGTCTTCATCCGATGAAGAAAATGTATGTTTTTGCTCATTATTATTAAAGCAGATATTTTATTTGTTTGTTTCTTCTTTTAGTTTTTTAATTTTTAACGCCTAACCTCTAAATATGATATAAAGTGATGCTACATTTGAAAAAGTTATTGTAAAAGCTGCTTATAAAAGTTTTTCTTAAGGCCTTGTAATTTTTGATGTTTCCTCACAAATATCATCACCAACTAAAAAGATCTTTAATATCTTAAAGTAGGTAAAAATTTATAAAAATTTTGAAAATTAATCATTTTTATGGAAAAAATAGTTTTGACTTTGAAAAATTCAGTAATTTTATTTTTTGTTCACAAATGAGAGATAAGGCAATAAAATTTTTTTAAGTTAAATTTTCAATAAAGCAATTTTAAAAAATCTTTTAGAATTATAACTATTATTTTTTAAAGATTTTTTGACTTTTTCTTTAATCTTGTATTATGTTGAGTTAATTTTACTTATGTAAAAATAGTTCTTGTTGTTTTGTTTTGTTGTTTGCATGTGCACAGCATCCATTGTAATGAAAGGATTTTTAAATTTTTTTAATTTAAATCAATTTTAGGAAGAATCAGGAGAAGAAGCATCTTGTATTGATTCAGCAACATCTCTTGATGATTCTAATCAAGATGATACAGTTACAAAGTTATCCTTGGAAACTCCTGCTTATGCTCTGCTTCCTGATGCTAGTGCAATCGGTCCTGGTCCACAGCTTAATAAAAACATTGGTCTACCTCCACAACTTAATAAAAACATTGGCCCTCCTTCCCAAATCCATAAAGATCCAGTGTTATTCACCTCACAGAATTTTCCTTATTCTCATAATATGCTACAATCTGATTTACGACATCCATTTGATTACAATCCTTCCAGTTCTGCTCAGAGTTTGCATTTACAAAGAGAGCTTCAAGTATGCACTACTTTAAATGTTCACTTATATTGTATTATAACATGACAATTATATAATGGTATAACACTTTTATCATATACGTGTGTCTTGTTATAGATGCGTGTTCAAGAAGAACAAGAAATGCGTTTGCATGAACATCAGCAAAGATATTCTCAACAGCTTCAGCAGCAACAACAACAACCTATGTTTTCTATGTACGGAACACCTTCATGTTTACCAGGTTTGAATACAACGCCAACAAACATAAATATGCCACTTGAATCACCAGCAATTTCTTTATCACACCAAATCCCTCAACCAACACAGTCACATCATGTGGCTCAGCCAACGCAACCACAACCTCCGAAAAAAAACTATATTTTATCAGTATGATTCTTTAATTTTTTTTATTTATAAATTATTATATTCTGATTATTATAAAATATATAATATAAATATTATATAATAACTTAATTTTAAAATACTAATCTTTAATTGTCACTACAAAGTGTATTATTTATACCATTTATAATACTAGTATATTATGTAGTATTATTTGTATCATATATAATACAAGTATAGTATTGACTAAGTTATTATCATGAATCTCATTTATGTCAGTAAAATCTCAACAAAGGAAACAATTTGAGTAAGATGTATTTTTATTA